GCTCAGCAATCAACGTCTCAAACAATTACTACAGCATTTACAACAGCCCATCATTTGACTACACAGCCAACAGTTTGACTCCATTTTACAACACCAACAACACAAACGCAACATTTCTCTCTGCAGTTTCCAACATTGGCGGCAACAACAACAGTAGCAACAACGAAAACAACAACTACGACTACAACGCCACTGCCAACAGCACGAGATTCTCATACGATATCTACAACCAGCCCCTCTACAACCCGTACCAACCGCAACCGCAACAATCGCAACCACTTCAGCAACTGAATCGCTGCCACAGTTACTACAACCCCTACAACAGCAGCAACAGTAGCCACAGCAATACCGGCTACTACTTTTTCGGTCCTACCGATGAAACAGACGCGTCGCACTCAGACGTCTCGGCGAATTTTGACGACGAAAACATAAGCGCCGACGAGCTATCAAACAGCGGCGAGTCTCAACTTCAACCACACCACCACCACCACTTGCTACTGCAGCAATCGACGCAGCATCTCCTGCTACAGCCGCCCGTCACGCACGGCAGACATCGTCGCAACGCTGGGAATCCACACGGAGCCGGGCAGAGAATCTATCCCTGGATGAGGAAGGCACATTTGGGACACGGTCAGTTATTCAACTCTTTTTTTTTCTTCATACTGCAGCTCTGTCAAATAAATTATCTATTTAAATATTCCATTGCAGAGTAATAATAGATAGAAACTTCTACGCTAGTAAGTGTGTTTATGAAGTATCATTGAACTTCATTGTTGTAATATATAAAGTCTCTATAATGATAATGATGATAACTAGAACGGTAATAAAATGAAAGATGACAAATTGTCTTTGTCGATTTTGCTGTTGAAGTTATCTTCTGTTGTAACAGACTCTCTGTGGTGAATGTCTCTCAAACTTGTGATGCAAGGTCGAAATGAGAAACATTTTGTTCTAAAAATTATTAATTTAGTGTTAAGTATTTTCTAAGTAGCACAAAACAGTTGGACAACTGTCAGAAATTTCCAATAAAAATTGCACCGACTTGCAAACAAACACATGCATAAATTTTAACGGTTCAGATATGTATCATGCTTTCTTGTGCATGTAAGAAATTGCGAAAAATCACACAATACAATCAGCACACACGATCACACACACACAGACATACACACATGCAAGCACACCATCATATACACTTTCACGCGTACACGAATACATTCAAGCGAGAATAATTAACATATTAACATATTAACCACACACACACACACACACACACAGA